AAGGTCTCAGGATCAGATGTCGTAGAAGAAGAAGTTACATTCTCCGAAGTGTCCTTCACGGCCCGCCTCAAAGAGTGCCCCTCAGTCGAGGCCGTGAGAGGGCAAATTGCATCCCAGGCCAACCGAGCCAAAGCCCGACAAAGCGCAGGCGGGTAAGCCAAGGACCCGAGGGCCCCGGAGTGTGAATGCCCACAATGCCTCGGCAGAGGTCCTCGGTAGTTTCCATCCCGATCGAATCGGGGCCAGCCTGAGTGGCCAAGGGTGCCCATGTTGGGCCAATTGCCGACCAAGCGCGTCGGGCGACGAATCGGAGCACCAAAGGAGCATTGTTGCAAAGCCACTGTGAATGCCTGAGCTTCATCGAAGAACTTGCGAGTCTCTGGCCAGGTCCAGACAGAGGCCGGTGTGCCTCGAGCCGCAGCTCCCAGATGCTCAGGGTGTTCCCAAAGCCAGAAGATGTTCAGCTGAGATGCCAACCGGGACAGCTCTAAAGCACGTTGGACTTGCAGAGTGCCCCGATCTGCCTTAGTCTTAAGTGGCCCTCGCAACCATGGGAACCCGGTCGGCCAACGATCATCTCGAAGAGGCGCCGACCCCGAAGACGAAGAAAGCGAGGACCTGCCGAAAGTAGAGGAGGGAGGGCTCAAGAAAAGAAGATTGTAATGGCCCTCCTGCAAGTCATGCAAAAGCTCTTCCCAGCGTTCTTCGCCGAGAGAATCATCAAGGGAAAGGTCAAACTCATCAACCACAAAAGGCCTGTTGCGCGAGTCTTTCGCGATCCAGTGAGCCAGATCGCCCCTATGGGGCAAGCCAGCATGAACGTAGAGCATGCACATGGTGGCGCCGCCTGCACCAGCGGAACCTTCCAACCCATCTGGAGCATCGAGTCAGTTGCCCCCTGAGGGGCGTTTGACCAGGGGGCAATTGTAGTAGGCATGGGTGCTCGAAAGACAGCGCTGACAAACATGTTTGAAGCGGCACTGCTGATTGGAGCAACCTCCTTTCCGGTTGTAACGCCAACAAATGGGCTCACCATTGGCATCCTTAGTGAGCTTCCCCTTAGGCTCCGAAGGATCCGCGTTGTTGTTCTTGAGAGCTTGATTGCGAAGCCCTTTGCCACCTGTGCCCCGTCCGGTGGCCCGACCACGTCCTCGACCTCCCCTGGGAGGCCGCTCAACCCAAGAATTGGGCATGTCATCAGGCAGCTTGGCTGAGACATTGAGCGAGAACGGAATGATAAGATGCCGTTGCAGCACCTCAGTATCCACCATGGCTCGACTGAAAGCCGCATCGAGCGTAGCCACCTCTCCATCCCGGAGCCACTTGTAAGCGGCCTTGCGCGCCTCATGCTCGAACTGCAACACCAGTGACCAAGTAGGCTTTCGCCCATCCCCCGTCAGCAAGCCCGCAACTTGCGCACCCAAGATGTAATCACTGAAGCGC